TCTGTTTTCCCCTTGGCCTCAGTGGGCCCCGCGGCCCAGGCCAGACGCCCTGCCTCGCGGGCACGAGGGCGCGGGGCCCGTCGACGCGGGCCGCGCCGGCGCCGGACCTCGCTTCGCAGCATGCCACGGCCCCCCGGCACCGGCGGCAGCCCCTGACCAGGCCTGGCCCCCCCGCCACGCGTAGCAATCGTCTGAGCAGCGCGCCGTCTCGAGCGGCGGGGCGCCCCCGAGCGCCGCGTCGCCGCGCGCCGCGAACAAGCCAAAGCCCCGGCACCCCGCGCGCCCCTCGTGCCAGAGATCGGCCTCCACCAAGCTTCGCTGGCGGATGACCGCGAAGCCCCGGAAGCCGAGGGCGCGGCCCAGGTCGCCCCGGTCACGCAGCCACCGCCCCAGCATCGGGGCCCGATGGGTGGCGGGGGAAGGGGCGTCTGGAGGGGGCTGAAAGGTCGCCTCCGAAAGAAAATGGCGGTGGAAGAGAGCGCGGAGGGATCAGGAGAGGAAGGAGACGACGGGGGGGGGGGTGCGCGCTAGCTCAGGGCACCCCTGAAGACAGGCGCCTTGCAACAGCGATGGCACGTGTCCCATCTGCTCGGCAAGCTCGATCACCCTGCAAACAAAGCTTGCTTGCTCGTCAACGAGCACGGTGAAATGGCGCGGGCGCACCCCATCCCAGGTAGATGCCGCGCTACGAAAAATATGGAAACCTGGCGCAAACGGGCTAGGGAGACGTGACCGAGCGCCACTCTGCCACCCGCTGGGAGAACCCACTGGGGGGGGGGGCATCAGGGTGAACGGCCCAAATATTGGAGAGACGGTCGGCCTCCTACCTGGAGGATGCAATATGCGGGCGCCCGGAAAACGCCAGCGATGCATAGCGCAAACAGGGTCACCCACCTGTGGGCCCGTCCCATACCTCCTTCACTTGAGGACTGCTGATAGTCCTTCCATTCCTCCCCGCACTTGCTGCGCTCGCTGGCGAGCTCTGAATCGATGATATTGCCGACGTGCCCGAGCAAGTCGTCAAAAATCTGGATGCCCAACTCTGCGTTGAGCTTCCGCGCCTGAAAAACTTCATGTAAGAGTCCTGCGCAGCGCGAACTTCCTGCAGTCCCGGTGCAAGGGCCGAAGGTGGCGACAAACTCGGGGCTGTCCTCGAGGCTGTCAAGTGCACTCCGAAACCCCTGGAGGTCCCCGCTCCGGACGCTGCGACGAAAAGCTTGCAGCCGGTTATGGGGCCACCTGAGGGGCCTGGAGCAGGCCGTCCAACACTTGCGCCTCTGGGAGCAATTAACCTGAGCCGAGGCCCAGTGGGTCTGGGGGGGGAGGCCCTGGGGGTCTTGCTGGGTCTGAAGGGGCATCAGTTTTCGCGATGAGAGTGCGCTCTAGGTCCTGGACGAGGGCGCGCACACGTGGCCCGGGATGGTGGGCCGCTGCCGGTCGGAGAAGGGATCCGAGGAATTGGATGGCGTAGTCTATCACGGCAGCGGCTTGATGCCGACTGACCAGCGAGAGCGGAGGACCTATGGGCACCCTAGTGGGCCTAGTGGGGAGCTCCTTGGGCCCGAGGAGCGTCGGGATCTTGAAATCGCCCTGCGCGCGCAGGGCCGTGGTGGCAGGGCGGCGGGGAGAGAGAGGGCCAGACGCAAACGTGCGGGGGGGGCCCCAAACGGGCCCTGGAACCTGGCCGTAGAGGAAGCAGTCGAGGAGCGACTTCGTCTTCTTGGTCCTATACGCGGTGGCAGTGGGCGCCGAGACCTGCATGGCGGCGCGCGCGGGGACGTCCGCGCCCCCCCTGGGCTGCCCCGGCTGAAGGTTGAGAACTCCCGCAACAATGAGCGGCTTAGCAACCAGGTCTTGGATTTGGCCGACGGCGGCAACACAGAGTTTAATCTGTCTCGCAGAGAAACGAGGAGGCGCGGAAGCAAGCGCTCACCCGGCCAGAAGCTGGGGCCCCTGGCGTTTCGATGACAGATCGGGCTAGTCTGAAGCTGCCCGCCCCTGGAGGCACCTCGATCGGCTGGGCCCCCAAGGTCCCAGCCGCCCCGGATGGGCACTCCCACCCCGAGATTAACTCGCCCGATGGGTTGCTGGCGGCAGGGGAGATGCGGGCAGGCCAACCGCGTGCGAAACACCATTGTATCTGACGAGCAACGTGGTCTCCTGCTTCTAGAATGCACTCCTGAGCGCAGATAAACTTGAAACTACCAACCGTGTCTGACTCAATGAAAGCTCTCACTGCACCCCAGCACGATCCGTTGATCGCAGCGATGGTGTAGGCCGCCGCCGCGGCCCTGACCAGCTCGACGTCGGGCCCGTCCTTGCCCTGGATTGCGGCCGCGTCCTCTGCGAGTGCCTCCAGGGCTGCCGCCGCGCGCGCCAAGGAACTGGGCTTGTCCATGCCGCGGTCGCTGCCGAGCTCCTCGCTTTGCGGGCAGGAGACGCGCCCCCCCTCGCCCGGGGCGGCGGGCGCTGCTGCGACTGCGCCGCCGCCCCCTGGCGGGCCCAGCAGCGGCTGCAGGGGTGACTCTTCGGGAGCTTCGCCGATGACTGGGAAACCGTCCGTATCCACGCCACCAGAAGTCTGCGCATGGGCATGCTGGGTCGCGAGGCCGTCGAAGAAGGCTGCGAGCTCCGACACCTTCGAGCACAGGTCGGGCGGCGCGGTGCTGCCTGGAGGTGCCCGCGCTGCGAGGACTCCTTGCAAGGTGGACAGGAGGTCGCCGTCCTCGGTGGCCGCCTGCATGGCGGCCTGCTTGGCACTGTTGAATTGCCTCTCGAAGGTCTGGATCTCCAGCTGCGTATTCTGCGTCTCTCCGGCGAGCTTGCGGTGCTTCTCGCTGGCTTCCATGATGAAATCCACGAGCGGCTTGAGCGCGGCGGACAGAGATTCGGACTTCTGAGGTTGGGTCTCGAGCTGGTCCGACAATGACTGGGCCTGCTGTTCGAGCGACTCTGATGCCAAAACCGATGCCTTGGCCTGTTTGAGTTTGCCCAGCGGTGCGGTGTGCTCCTCACCGCAGGGCTTCCAGTTCTTCCAGAAACTGATTTGGGCTTGTGCCAATGCAAATGGATATTTTGTTTAAGGGTTGCTGCTCGTCGCCCTCAGCGACGGTGGCGCGTCGCAATGCTGGTGGATGGGTTGGCCCCCGTGGGCGGCGTCGCCCTCGCCAACGGCCTAGCTTGTCAAACCGCTCTGGCGGGGGGGGGCCTTGGCCCGCTTCGCCCGCGCCACTAACGCCGCTGGCGGCGGGCCCACGAGAGCCACTCTGAGACTCCTGCTGCTGCTGCTGCTGCTGCTGCTGCTGTTGTTGCTGCTGCTGCTGCTGCTGCTGCTGCTGCTGCTGCTGCTGCTGCTGCTGCTGCTTGAAGCGACCACCACATTGCATGCAGCGTTTAGCATTAGAAAAACACCACACCCAGCCCTTTCAGCCGCGACGTGAACACATGGTTTACTTCTGCTGATTGGCCATCGAGTTTTGTGAACCCTGCGGCTGGAAGACGCGCGCAATACCTGGGGATGAGACAGCGGGGACGTGGTGCCGAAAAGGCCGCGGAGGGCCTGCTCGAGCCCTCTCTCACAGGGCCTGCCGTGAGAGGAAACGCTAAGTCCTGCACCTCCAGCGGTGTGCTCAGGACTTGAGCCAGGAGGAAGGAGGAAGAGGATGAGGAGGAGGAGGAGGAAGAGGAGGAACGGCGGCGAGAGCAGGGAGAAGTGAGAGGGGGCGGGTCTTCCCAGAAGGTTCAACAAGCCTCTGGCCTTTTGAGAAGATTTCTCGGCCTTCTCCGAAAACAAAGACGGCTTCTCAGAAGGCGCGAAAGCTTAGAAGCCCCGCCGCCTTCTGAGAAGGCCCGCCCCCTCTCATTTCCCCCTGTGCGCGCCGCTGAAAGAAAGGAGGGAGGAAACCGAGGGAGAAGTAGGAGTACGAGGAGTCCAACTCGTCTCGCCATCGCGCCTTGTTCTGCAAGAGGCGGAAAAACTACATACACAAGATTTCGGATCATCGCGCGGATTTCTTGGATCCCCCTCCCTTGCGCGCGGGCCGTTCCAGGGGCGGCGCTTGAGGCGCCACCCGAAAATCTCCATTGTGGATCCGAGAAACCCGCGCGGAGTTCCGAAAGTTTGTGTGAATGCAGTGTGTTCTTCTTCGAGGAGTCCGATTCGGCTTGCCATCGGGCCTCGCTCTGCGCCTCATCATCGTCACCCTGCGACCGGCGCGCGGTTCGTAGCTGCTGGCACAACGCCACGCCGCGCGGGGGTCCCTCTTCCCCACGTGGCGCGCTGGTGTTCTGGAGCTCGCTCCCCGCTTGAGTGGGGACGAAGAGGAATTAGAGGATGCGGCGAAGGCGGAGCAGTAACGGGCCGAGCCGAACAGACCTCCGACGGAACAGCAGTACAAAACATACTTCGCAACGTGCGATCTACCGTGCGCGGTACATATACTGCCAGTGGGCCCCCACGGCAGGAGCCTCGAGCTGTCCTCGCTGAGCCAGAGTTGCGGATGCAGCGACGCCGAATTGCAATCCAGGAGTGGGCCCCGTGGGGCCCCGCGCTGCAGCCCTCGAGGAGGGCCCCGAAACAAAAATCATCAGGAGGAAATCGGAGGAGGGGGGGGAACGAGCACACGCTGACATGAGATACGTACACATTCATGGATCTGGCACGTGTGCGCGAATCAAGTCATCCAATGCCGCCTGATTTGGCAACGGCGCGCGTCGACACGCGCATGGAAACGGGACCCGCCGCGAGGCCACACGCCAGAATCCATGTTTGCGTTTCCTCGGGGGGGGGGGGCGGAAGGCGGGTGTCGTAGGGCCCCCTGCCACCTCGCGACGATACTTTGGAGGCCTCCCGGATGGGGTCCGAGTAGATGGGGTCGAAAAGTGGCGCCGCGTCGCCGATGCATCGGCGATGCGGCGCGATCCTCCGAGCCCATCTACTCTAAACCCTTCTGGTGGGCGGCCTCGACAGAATGCTCCTCCACCGCGGATCTCATCGGCGCGTCTCCTGGGACAGCGTCGAAATCTCGTTGGCCAGCTCCTCCAGGGCGGCCGTGAGTGCCTGGCCGCCCGCTTCCTCTTCCCCATCCCACCCCCTCCTCCTACTCCCCCCCTCCCCCCCCCCCCCCACACCCCCCACCCCCCCCCCCACCCCCCCCCCCCCCCCCCCCACGCCCCCCCCCCCCCACCCCCCCCCCCCCACCCCAACCCCCCCCCCCCCACCCACCCCCCCCCCCCCCCACCCCCCCACCCCCCCCGTCCCCCCCCCCCCCCCCCCCCCCCTCCCCTCCCTCCTTCGCTGCGCAGCAGCGTATCCGGCCGACCAGGGCGCTCTGCAAATGGGATCTGGCGAACTCCCCTCGCGCAGAGAACGGCGCGCCGCCAGACGGCGCCCACTCCCAAGGGGGGGGGCGCCAACTGGAGCCTTTAAATCGGGCATACACGGGAACGCCAGTGTCCGCGTGGATCCGCAAAGAAACTGTGAAGAACCATTTGCACCGGTCTTGTCGCGGGCAGGTGCCGTGTTTTGTAAAGAGACACAACAATTGTTGGCATCTCCGTCTTTAGGCGGCTGTTGTGTGCCTCGCCCCGCGAAGGGTCGTTTCTCGCGGGCATCCGTGCCGGCCTGCGGCGTGCGTCCGTGAGGTCGTGGCGTGGAGCGGTTGCCAGAGCCAGTGTGTGGCAATTTGCACCGTCCGCCGTTTTTGCAACGGCCTGCTTTGTATGCTGCGCATGCGGCAAGCTCGTGTCGAATCGTTTCGTTGTTGAAGATGTGCTGGTTACTTTCGAGTCGGTGCATCTCGATGTTGGCCAAAACGCGCGCTCGTAACCCATCGTGCGTGCGATCAGGGTCGCCCATGTTCATCTTGCTGTAGTCGTGCACGTTTTGCTTAATCCATGGATGTCTGCGGATCTGAGCTCGGAGCAATGACTCGAATATCTTCGTGTCTGGTGGACCATGGTACTCCAAGAATAAATTGCCCCAGTCCGCGACAAACCGTTGGAGGTCGTCCTCCCGCATGCGAATAAGTTGGAAACGTTCGAAGTCGTGCATGCGGTCGACTACGGCCGTGACCATGTAGGATTGCAGGATAGTCAAATACATCTGCCCACCTTGCAGCGCGCGGCCGGCTTTGTGTTCCTGAGCTTTGAGGTTCTTCATGCGGTAGCGAAGCTCAGTATTGAGAGCGAGCGAAAGTCCAGCGGCGAGCTTGCAATCGATGCTCGCGAAGTGGCCACTGCGTTGAAGGTCCTCAAATGTAGCGTCGGGTTGCTAGGCAACGCAAAGGAAGGCGCATGCCTTGGCAGGACGCCCTGGGGCGTTGCCGAAGTTCCCCCTGGCCATATGTCGCCACTCTTGCAACTGAGTAAGACGTGGCAATTGTGGAACGCAAGCAATGTCTGGCACCTGGATCGGGGTGAAACCACCGAGAGAATACGGTGAAATATTGCGCGATGGAATCGGTGGCGTCGGCGACGGCGCACGCGCGGGGGAACTGCGACGCGTCTGGGCTGCGGCTGCAGCGGAGGCAACTCCTGGTGCCGCGCGTCGCGGTTGTCCAAAGCGGATGTTTCCAACGGCGAGGCTTGGGGCACTGTCGGTGGTAAGTTCTGGAGGTCGGATCTGGGCGTCGCTCGCGCGGGCCTTGAACGTGGCTTCGGTTGTTGCGATGTCGTTCTGCATCGCCTCAACGCTCTGTCGCGGGCCACGTGCCTCGTCGTTGGTGTCGCGGGCTCGCTGGGAGTACCGGTCCAGCCGATGCTCCATGTCCTGGTTTCGTCGGTGGTGCACTTCGCGCTCTCGCCCCAAACGGGCGAGGGTTCCTCGGCGCGTGCCTTTTCGGCGTCTCATTCGCGGGGGATCTCGGTGAGTCGCGACTGCGCGTGGCCCGCCGCCCTCCTTCCCTCGGCCTTTCCGGCGGCGAGGGGGGCGAAGTCGCAAACCGAAATCGGGGCGCCCAGTCTTGCAGCCTGGGCCCGCGCGCCGCGCAACTCAGCCAGCGCAGCCTATGATCAAGCAGCTGCTGCTCGACGATGGAGACTCGGTTCTCAAGCGCTGGGACGCGTCCTTCGGAAGCATCAAAACGTTGAGCAATAGCCATTTCGGCATCGCGCAGCTTGCCGTGCAACTCGGACGCGGCTGCGGCACTTCGCGCGCGTAGGTTGGCAGTGGCCACATCAACGCGATCGCGAAGCGCAGCGAGGTCGTCGCGGAGATGTTGATCCGGAAGCCCATGTGCCTCAGTAGCTGGAACCTGCCTCGCTGTCAAGAACTCGTCGCGTAATGTCCTGGCAGCAGCGCTGCCCGCGTCCCTGACGATCGCGAAGTGGGCCTCCGCTGCGAGGGGGTAGTCGCGCAGCGATTGGATTGCAATGGAGTTGAAAGCTCTGTGGCTCCACGCGGTCGACTTTATGCTGGACCTGGGCGAAGATCGATCGATCCGCAGCGATCCGAGCGTCAACAAGTGGCGTTGTGGAACTCTCGCCCCGAGGTTGCCATCAGCGCAGCAAGGCCCGACGACTGTTGGGCCGCGCAAGTTCCAACCTGGTCTCTAAGCTCTGCCAAACCGCTGGCGGGCGGCGACGCTTGCAACGTGATGTCGCGTCGCAAAGAGCCCTGCCACGAGCGCCTCTGGGAGGGGCTGCGGTTGTTGCCCCTGCCTTGAGACTGGAGACGACACCGCTCGGGGGTTCTTCGCTGCGAGGTCCGTCCAGTGCGATCCTCTATGGCTCGCGCACTTTCTGACGCAGGGACTGCACTGGTGCGCATGAGGCGTCGCGCGCCCCAGCGGCGGTGTCGCGCGGAAGCCCTCTGAGCAGACGTTTCATTCGCGCCACCGCCGCGGGCGCTCCCACGGGCGAAGGTTGGTGGAGGTAGCGAAGCGAATCCAGCGGTGGCGGGTGTTTCCACTGGCGAGGGTTATGAACTACGGGTGGCGCCAGGTGACGATTTGGTGAACTGCGCGCTATGTCCGAACCCTGGCGTGTAAGAGGGCGCCGGCGCGGGAGGCGGGAAGGAATCCACGACTGCTGCATGTTCCGCCTCAAATCGAGCGTCGGCGTTGCCTGCTCCTGGGAGGGGAGATTGCGGTATATCATGTTCTGTCCCATTGCACTCTCCGTGGTGTCGTGACGCCCACGCGCCGTGAAAAAATCACCGCGCATAGAGGCACGGGTCCCCGTGGGGTCCAGCACCATGCGGCAGGCTCAAAGACGGCGCGGGGTGTCACAACGCATAGCGAAATTTAATAAGCTGATAACCTGTGTACGGAGGTTGACGACTTAAGAGTCGAAACTACCGTGTGGTCCGTTGGTAGAGGACGATTGGAAAAGGGGAAATATCACTTTTCCTATGAGCCGCTGGCAAGCGGCGCGAGTCCTGTCTGAACGGACTGTCCAAGTGTCCAATACCTGAGCCGAGACGGTAGCAGGATGGATGTATAGAAAGGTGGTATGAGCAGACTTCACACACAGAGCAGTGGGAGCTCGCCGCCAGCGCCGTCCCTCCGTCCCTGCCACCACGAAAGGTTGAGCAGCGGGAGCTCGCCGCCAACGCCCTCCCTGAAGTCCCTGCTAGCCGCAGCCCGCGGGCCAGCCACAGTGACGTTTTCACAATTTGCCTGATGTTGATTCGTTTCGGCGCGACTTCGCTTGAGACGTCCTCACGCATAGTGTTGCTTGGTATCGGCAGGGTTTTGTTGAGATTTATTTACAGTTTCCCCAGTTCGGCCTGGTTTGGGCGCAGTGTCGGCCCAAACGTCCTCGCAATTTCCCTGGCTTGGCCTGGCTTGGGCGCAACTTCCGCGGTTTCGCTTGAAACGTCTCCGCAAATTGCACGATGTGTTGTGATTCGGGGTGATCGCAGCACCACTCAATAGAAAACGGGTGCAAGCTATGCGGTGCAAGCTATGTGATGCAAATTTCGTGGCGCCAATTATGCGGTATCTCATACCACTCCGCAACTGCTGATAAGGGTGAGGGGGCGGCGGAATCGTCGGCAATCTGCGAAGCTCTGAAGAAGCCCGATACGGAACTCCCGGCTAAGCCGGAAATCTGCACCAGTCACTCATCCAGCTCCATGGTGCTCTCCGTCCGCCCCTTCGGTCACTTTGGAATCGGCGTTTCCCCAGCGGGATCCCTCGAATGGCCAGGCAATTCGGGCTCTCGGGGGCTCGACAGGTAAACTGGATGTTGGGGGATCCCGACGTGCTCTGCTGTCTGAATCAGTTCATGGCGAAGCACCTCGTGAATGGTTAAACTGCCCCCCCGCACGCGGCCCCATTCATTGGGCACTCTTGGCGGAGTACTGTTGGACCCCAGGTTAAGCCGGCAATTCGTATAACTTACTGTGTTGGTCGACCGACTAAGTCGCACGACTCACCTTTCAACAGTAAATGCAATGAACGTGAACCCGACTCAATTAGCACGGCTTAGTATCGGTCGACATCGATACCTCGGACGTTCGCTGGCATGTCCTCATGTATGTCGTGTATTGATCTCGTGTCTCCCAACCCGTGTCCACGCAGGGGGCGAGGATTAACTAAGTCAACCCTACCCGACGCAGCGAAGCTCGCTGGGTACTCGCATGGTAGATGGATCAAAGGCACATCAATTGGAAATGTATAACGAATATCATGGCGTGGCAACTTTGCCGAGTCGTTATCATGAATTGATCCAGGGCTCTCGGCTGATATCCAATTAGATGCCAGAGGACTGAAGATTCTGACATAATGAAAGGCATCATCTCTTGTTATAATGACGTGATGGGGTCTACTTCCTCAGTCGGCTGGATAAAAAAAAACGGCATGGCTAACGTACAAGTCCGTTCAGCGCAGGCGCAAAGTTAGACATACGTAGTGAGGGGAGCCGGCCGGCCGAGGCCGCGCCCCTGTCCCCGCATAGCTGCAGCCGTCCATGTGGCTGCAGAGTGTACGGTGACCGGCAGCAGTCTCCGACGATGGCGGCGGCGGCGGCGAGAGACGGCGAGGACGAATCACATTGACTTGAAGCTATGCCCGGGCTGTGGAACCAGAGCATGTCACGGCGCGGCACGGCACGCAGGCGGTTCGATT